GGCATCCAGTTTATCATGTTTGAGGTTGCGCCATTTTACATGTATATAGCGCATGCACAAAATTATGCGGATACTTAGTGTACTTATTCCTGTTCAAAGCCTAGGAAATAAGATGCAACTTGTACATTGTGGAGCCCACACATCTGTACCTGTTCACTGGCCTACACTCAACTGGACTCGGGCCGCGACTAAGTTTTTTTTATTTTGCCCAATCGGGCAGGCCATGCAATAAATTTGCTTGCCCGAATTGGATCAACACTTGCCTAAGGTTTTCGCGAGATCCGTGATAATTGTGGTTATTTAACTTAGGCCTACTGCATGCAAGCGGTCTTTTATTTGGCCCAAAAATAGTTGTGCTTCTGATTACACAATTGGGCGTTAGGTCAGAAAAGTTTTGGGTTGGGGGGGCAAATTTTTATGCTGATTGAATGGCATGAATGGGAATAACAGCTCCTAAATTTATCTTAAAAGTGATGAGCACCTGTGTTAATCTATATGAAAATTATAAAATATAAAATAAAAATATATAAATAAAAACGGTTGACAATTCACCAGAATTATGGACAATTCACACAGTGCTACTTGGGCAATCATGACGGCAAACTGGCCACCAATGTCCGAGTATCGTGTGGTAAGCGTGCGTGATGCGTCCAGACCAGCGGGCGATAAACCTTGTGTCGCGGCAGGAATTTGTTGAAACACGCTCGCTTCAACTTTCAAGTATGAGCAAAACAACCTTAAATTAAACTCATTAACACAGAAAATACATACATACACTGTAAGTAAGAGACCAAGTTCTGTAAATTAACTTGCAGAACACCTCTTGCAACAATGATGATTTTTTCGATCTGCAACTTTAGGGTTGCATACAATATGCGTGTACGGCTGATGTAGTGTAACCGACCGGAATGTACAGTACATATATTGACTGGTTCTGGTAGCTGCATTTCCATCACGCGTTCTGTTGCTTGTGCACGGCGTGATCCAGATCAGCTTCGTTTTATGCACTGAGCTTTGCGCAGGTGTTTTCACCACTGCAACAGCGAACGTCAGTAGGAACTGTTCGTGAAAGTTGGAAGTTAAAAAATGACATTTCGGTGACAAACAAGCGGTAAGGTTTGTCTACATTTGCAAAATAATCTCCGATTTTTCTCGCCAGGTCAATGGAATGATAGCCAAAATTACAATTATTCGCCAATTGGCGAGAATGGCAAACGGCAGCTGGAACCCTGAGTATACATTGAAATATTAATTTTCCTTTTTTCTTTAAAAACAATGTTGTTAAATTGTCAGTTTTCAAAAACTCATTGTAATTTTCTAACACTATCAATCAGAATGACATCGCTCCTAAGTTACATTTTTATCTGTACTTTCATTTATTCTCTTGTGCCCTTATAATGCACCCCATACGGTCAATGTTATCAAGAGCACTCTTTGATATTGGCCGAAGGAATTGCTTAGGCAATTCGATTACTCTGAATTTCATTGAGTGAGGCGGCAAATTAGGCAAAGAGGAATTACATTAAAGATGGCATTAAAGATGGCTTAGTCTCCTTATCCAGCACACGCTGATTCATTCCTGTAATTTTGCCCAATTGGAAATGTGAATAGCTGCATCTTATTAGTAGGGTGATGAAGGGAGATGAGTCCAAGTTTCAGATTGTAAGCGAGGTGGCAATTGTGCATAGCAGGATACAGGATTTGCAAGAGAAAGGACTTGGTTGGGTTTCAACATGAGGTGTGTCCACACAGAATGTCTAGTTTTGAGGGGTGCGGTGGAAGTTTCTAGGCTTGGAGTGCAGCAAATAACTGCAAAACAAAAATCTGGCAAAATTTACTCGCACTTTAATTACCCAACCAACTGTTCCATTTTTTTCCTTCCAAGGGAAGATCAGTGCATCACTATCTATTGAGGTTTGAACCAGATAGTGAAGCCTATTGATATCATTTTGAAGTCAAAAACAAGGCTGGTACACTTTCCCCTTTTTTATATTTAGTAGTCTGGTGGCATGAACCTCCAGATAATCTACATGTACAGAAACAGACTAGGTACTAGATATTACTCTTGGCTTTTTATTTCAGATGAAAATAGTGGAGATGTTTTAGTGTGTTTCAAGGGGGAAGTCTAATTCCTTTGTTTTGTTTTGGTTTTTTTTTTGCATCTCAAGGATTGAAATGTGCTTGCGAAGTATTGCAAATATGTAAAGTTTTGTGACTTCTTGTCAATTCTGCATTGAGCAGTAAAGTAAACTCTACCCACCTCATTTTGTCTGTACATGCAGAGTACCTCCAGGAACCATGATGGATGGACCAAGCCAACAGGTGATGCAGAATGGCGTGATGGCAGGCAAGACCAACAACAACAACAACGAGGAGAGCAAGACCAACCTCATCGTCAACTACCTGCCCCAACACATGTCCCAAGACGAGATGCGCTCGCTCTTTGGGAAGTTTGGAGACATCGAGTCATGCAAACTCATCCGGGATAAGATCACAGGCAAGTGGCTCCCACTTTGTTCTTTCTCTCAACAGTTGGACTTGAAGAACATGTCAAACATACGTGTAAGGGCGATGTCAACTGCCATTTCTCTGACCAAAAAAGTGATCAAACCTTGACGAATGCATCACCTGCAAGTAGAGGAACCAGTGCCCTTTCCCAGTGGTTAAGTATAGTTGCTGGAATGAATAAATCAGGAAATGAGAGCAGGTGGCTGTTATTTTCTTGTATTTCAAAAAATGTGTATGGTTTATAGATGAGGCTGAAGTCGGAGCTTGTTGGGACCAGTCCGCCTCATTAGGACGATTCTTTCCTTTCGGTCCCTTGTGCTGTTAAATAAATTAGTGTAAATGAGCGTAAAGAGCAAAAAGTATAATGACACTGCGAGCTTCCCTCCGACTGATGAGACATCATGATTCTGCCCAGTTTGACTGATGACCCCCCTGAGCATACGTGATTCTGGTTGGAAACGCCAAGTTTAATTCTGTGTACTTTCCCCCATGGTCTGAGATGGAGTGTGGGGTTCAAGTGCATGTACATGTACTTTCGTCCTCGACAAAAAAACAAACTCTTTGGAACTGCGGTGTTTATAATGCAGGATGGAACTTTTTTTAATCAACTTACTGTTCCATAACCTTGTGGTTGATAGATTATCAGTTTTAGTCATTTTTCAAGGAACACATGAACACTGCTTTAAAATGTGGCCTTGATTTGCTTCATTGGCAAAACCTCAATCGTTTTAGTCGCAGTCATTGGGATACCACTGCAGCTTTATTGGAACTCTACTCTGGAGTCCTCGACAGAATTGGAATGTCTGTAGGGGCCTGCTTGTAGACTTTATTAAAAGCATTAATCCATACCACTGGAGATGTTTGTACCAGACGTAATCCAAGGCTTATAGAACCACAGGATGCAGAACTCGGGACAAATGTCATGTTAAATGAACGAGCTGTATCATCAGGAAAAAATTGACTTTAATTTGGATTGCTCCCCACATGAGTTGGAACTACTTAGGGCAACTGAAAGCCACCGTCCATATGTTGTGAATTATCAGGATATGTTTCCTTCTCAACCCAAACAAGAAAGGCTGGCAGAAAAAAAAAAGTAGTTCTCAGCCTTGACATAGTCTGCTGCTCATGTCTTGGCTTTAACCATAAAACTTGCCCACATTATGACATCATCGAGTGCTATGGCAACTGCCCACCAAGCATCACGAAGGATCAATCCTTTGTCAGTGAGCGCTAAAGCCACATGATTTGTAAAGCTAACATGTTGGAGGGGGAGGGAGGGCTTGAAACTATGTTGTCCATTGTGGGCTCATTGTGCAGAGGGGTGAAGGGACAACCCGTTAGCTTGAATGACCAGGATATTGAAAGAAAACTAGGAAATTAGAAATCATATGCAGGCAAAAAGTCACTTTAATATTAGTACAAGTCTGAACAAAATAAAAGATTTTTTTTTCCATGGTTGTTTAGTAAGTGGTAAATTCTTAACGGGAACATGCACTTGTCCATTTCTTGAGTGTTGCGTAGTCAAGATGAAAAACTGGTTAAGGGCTAAGAAAATAAAATGCTTCAGATGAAGAAGTGCATGTACATGTATGTTCATATGACACTGCTATGTGGAAGGCAGATTTTAGGTATCTACATGTATGGCTGTAATTTCAGCGTACACGTACATGTAGACCATTTTAAAAAGTGTTCCCTGTCAATGATTAACAAGACATTGATGATTCCACTGTCTCCCGTGGAAGGCCCGTGCAGGCACTCCCCCCCCAAACATAAGACCATTTATAACTTCACATTTAAAGAACAATTTATTCTGCATGTACATTAAGACCAACATGAGTGGCCAGAAAACTTCAAATGTCATGTCTAAAAAACATGGCAACAAATTATCTCCACGTGGCATGGGGATATTTTTGACTGGAAAACAAAAATTTTCACTGTACTGGTAGCAACCATGTAAACAGTCGTTTATAAGGAAACTGCATGGACAGGGGTCTGTTTTTATTCGCACCTCACAGTTCATAATTAGTGATGACGATAACAAATTGCATGGAATATTTCTAACATTGTTTTTTTCTGCAAAGAGGGTGTTTCATCAAAAAAATATTGTTTACACGGTACATTTTGAAATAAAAGAGGAACACTTGACGGAGAAAAACATTGGGGGGGAAGTAAATTCTTCCATTGCGTCGCCAATTGAGATTATTTTGCCGTTGATTTTAGGTGATGTTATACAATGCAGTGTCTTTTTGCACTATAAACACTCTGTCAATCAGTACTCCTTTCTCCACTCATTTCCTTCTGTTTGTTTCCATGTAACATCATACCCCTAAGTGAGATGCAAATACCTAGAAAAATATATCTGACTAGAATTCAGAATGAGTGTTTTTCCCCATATTTTTGTGCTTGTGTGGGTGCCCAAACCAGCTCATTAATGTTATCTTATAAATTAAAGTGAGTGAAGAATCCAATGTATTTGATTCATGAACATGTAGTTTGGTTTCGAAGGAATAACTATACGTGTACAGCACGGAGCGACTGACAAGATTCATTCATGTTAACAATCTTCAGATCAACAAAGAGATTGTCAATGCATTTCCCAAACGAGCCTTGTTTATGGCTAGCAGAAATTCTCTTGATGTTAATCCCTGCTATTCCTTGGATTATTGGAGGCAATTTTTTTCTGGCTTTCAGTTCAGCTCTGTCATCCTGTTTGTTACTTTGAATGGCAAATTACGTTTCAATAATTCATGAAATGGAGGCTATAGGCTCACGCACACTGGTATCCACTGTTTTGTTGTATACTCAAGGTTACTCCAATACGAGTAATGGCGTTTTGTTCTGCGCCAATACTCATTCAGTTTTTGTATCAGAAGGGATAGGGAAAAAATTAACCCTTTCTGCACTTGCATGAACACACTGCCCTTGTTGTTTTTCAGACTTGATCACCTTTTGCATACGAGGGTCGTAAATGCACCTGCCTGTGTCCCTTCGGGGTGGGAAAACATGTCTGCCAAGAAAATAAAAATTGCCCCAAAAGGAACGAGAGAGGGAGAGAGCAGAATGTTGGCAGGACACAGCGATAAACATCCTGGAGATACTGTTAGCATTTATTGTTGCACTCTCGTCTTCCCTCCACTCCCCCTGCCCCCCCCCCCAAGCTGCAGCAACACCATCAATATTAATTTGCGCACCTTTTACGTATTTATCTGGAGCATAAATGCAGTTTAGATTGTCGCAGACTTGCCGGGGACCAAGATGGGCGAAGGAGTGATAGGAAATGTTGTCACAGTTGTCATAACATGGAGTTTACGTGTAGGTGCTGCAGCCGTTTGCGACAAATTCCCTCCGATTTTAAGAATGCCAGAGGTTTCGTGGAAACTGAAGGCATCGCTAAAACAATTTGTTTATGTGGGAGAAAGGTTTGCATTTCAATTGTAATACAGAAAATACAGAGGAAGCAAATTAGTCTTAGATAATTGTAGTCTTGGCTTTGTGCAGAAAATGTTTTAAGAATTGAAAAGTGTCGTAAGCAGGCAGACAGTGTACTCCACTTGAGGCATGTAGGCCTAGGCCATGCCAGAGTCCTGATCGTTACCATTTTCATACCAAAGGATCACTTAAGTTTTTCCCTAGTTTAGATTTTGTTGGATCAAGTGATCTACATAAAAATGTATGATGGGCATGAAAATGACCTGTAATGTCGTGAAGTGTTGGTGAATTTATATGTATAATGTGCTTCATTTTTTTTCCCGAGAATACAAACTGTCCACTGCCCCTTTAAGTTGCCATTGCCTGGCAGCTGTTAGTGGCCCCGTACCATGCATTAACACCGCCCTGCTGGTTTTGGCATTATCAGCACTGCAGTGCACACAGGATATCCTGGGTCATGTGCTCAAACCATAACGTTTCTTGTGATATAAACTCCCGGGAATTATACTCCACTTACGAATGTTAGAATGGTAAAAGTTATAATATAATGAAGAGTAACAAAAAGAATAATTTCCATGTGAGCCACTGGCAGTTTTGTGTGCAGTTTGTCATGATTTTGCTTGTGAAACATCTCTGTTATGTGCAAGGAAAGGGACACCAACTGAAAATTGGGAGAGACTGTTTTATTACAGTGAGATCTATTTTCATTCTCAATATTTTTAAGCAATGAACAAATTGACGTGCAGCACTTGCATGTACATTGCTTTAGATTGCTTTCATCCACAACATTGTTTTGAAAGCAGAGCCGAAGTAAGATTTTAATCGAGCATGTTTTTTTGACTGATAATGAAAATGTTGACAGAAGGCCACAGTCCAGATGAGTACAACTGAGGAATGATTACTGTCATTATTTATAAATTTCCAGTTTCAAGCGGTCAAATGAAAGTAGTTTTTTCTTTTGGGGAAGTAGATATTTACCGACCTTTCATGTACCGGCTCCGGGTCCGGACTTTGGTAAAATCTCTAGTCACGAAAATTTTTTTAGCATGGGACTTTGATCCAGTGCTTTGTTGGGTGCCTTGTAGATGCTCCAAAGATAAGCCCCACTCATTGCGTTCCCTTGAAGTCAGTATACAGGGAACATTTCCTTTCAGGTTGGGGGAGGGGGAGGAAAGGGATCCCCCCCATTTCAATTAGGCCATCATCAACCCGCCAATTTGTGAAGAAACGATTAAGACACCAGCATCGATCCTCTTTGTTTAGTAAATACATGTACGTGTAGTTAGCCCATTGACAGTTGATCGTTGCTTTCTCGTACCTGCACGAGTTGGGCTGTGCTGTTTGGTTTCCGGCAACTACCAGCACCAGTGTATTACATTGATTGGCCACCTGTCTCCTTTGGTGTGTACATGTATACTTCTGGTTTCAGAAATCCATGTCAACTTTGTGGTTTATAGTTGCTATTGATTCTTCACAGTTAGGCAAACAGTGAACAGAATATAAAGCTGATTAGCAGTGGACTGTCAATTCCCCATGAACAGATGTACCATTTGCTGGCATCAAATTGTGACTTGGCTAAACCAACAAAAAAGAAACAAAACAAAGGATCATTAATCTTTGTTTAGTTATTACCTGTGACATGTCGACAAAGGAGCCTTTGTCAGAACAGGGCACATGAAGGCCTGATTGGGTAATTGATCGTGTGCAGCAAATTAACATCACTTGAGAAAAAAATGGGCTACCCCTATGCTGTTAGCCTGACAAGCTGTCTTTTTTAGCAAAGTACTAGTGTTTAATGTTTAAATTTAATGATGAATATTTAAAGTTGCACTTTTTTCATGGATGTCTTTGTGAATGTGAAATTGATCATATACAAAAAACACACCATGTATTCGATGGTATATTTACAATCTTCAAAAGTTCAAACCAGCCCCACTGTTTCTGGTTCCATTCTTCAAATTGGCATAAATAAAAAAACAAAGCAAAAACCTTGCATCATTGTTAACCACATTTAAATGAATGGTCTTGCACTGCATCCTGTGATGACTCTGTGCCTTCACATCTTGCTAGTCCTCATTATCTTGTCGCTAGCGATCAGGGGACAAAATAACCCAACGGGGGCCGAGCCAAGCCGAGCAGCGCATGGGCAAATGCAAGTAGATGAACACTGTTCATTGTAATTTGGATGGCTTGTGGGTCGGCTGCACACAAGCTGCTCTCTGCCTAGCATCGGCTGAGTGATCCTGCATCAAGACTCTGGAAGCCATGGCCGTCGAAGGCTGGTGTACATGTACTTCTGCTATACTTTGTATTTTTTTTTTCTTTACCTGTCAGCAGTGTCGTCATGGAAAAATTTTTAAATTAAAATTTGTCTTCAGTTACACTGTCAAATTATAGTTTGTTTACCGACAATAATTTATACATGACTGTGCACCTGTCCCCACAAGTTCAGAGCTAGGGAAGGAGGGGAGGGTAGCTTTGGTCACCTGAAATTTTTTTGTTGGGGTAATGTTAGTTTCAAGCACAAACATACAATTCGAAATTGTATAAATTTTTTTATCATGCAGTTGACAAATTTATGCAGTCAGCTGCAGAGCTCAACCTTCCTATGCAAAGATGCATTCTCAACACAGTTGTCATATCAATCAAAATCAATCAAATTTACCATATGTGTCTGTGTACTGGGGGAAATCAAGTGGAAGGAATTTTTGTTACTGTTTTTGACGGTTAATAAAGCAAATGGAAGTTAAGAAATTTGTTCTTTTTTTTAATAGTCGAGCCACTCGAATCGTTTCAAATTAAACATTGACGCCTGACTGCAGTGGAAGGTCATTGGCTTTAGTTGGATGACAATGTAGAGAGTACATGTCTGCATTTGTATCAGTGTTGTCAGAGTTGTGGCAGAAAAGGCCAGTTGAAGCCACACTCTTTTAACCGCCAAGCATATTGTTTGGCTTACACTACACAATACTACAAAATACTAAGTAATAGTCTGAGCCTGAAGGATCTAGCGCTACAGATTACTACTTCTGGCTAGGTTACTTCCATTGTCACTTGTGCAGAGAACAATAAAGCCATGCATTCATAGAGCCACAGCACTGTATGGCACATTGTCTTGTGTATTGTATCTTATGGCTTCACAGAACAATAAAGTCATGTCCTCTTACAAGCGGCAGCGCTCAGGGTTAGGGTTAATTGTAATACTGCAGCATTAGTGGCAGACAGTACGACTTCGACTTCGTGACTCCCCGACAGTGTTGACACAAGCCTCTAGACAGTTCACACCACCTACAGTGGGCTTGTAACTGTTGACAGGAGTACAGAAGATGGAAACTGTAGTCAGGGGAGGGGGGATGTCACTGGCGGTATCTTTCTGGAAAAAAAGAGAACCCCTGATAGAGGGGGGATTTGTTTTTGGAGCATGATCGTCTTATTACTCCGTCACGCATTTGCAGATAGGGTTGAGTCACTACAGCCATAGACACTCGTGAGTGGCAATTTAGCTGAGCTGTCATAAGGCGAAGCAGAAAAGGCCTTTGTGGAAATTGAGAAAAAGTGGGGGGGGGACTGAAGGGGATACTCTTCCACTTCCTTAAACTCTCTGTCCAGTAATGGCAGGAAATGGGGAAAGGTTGAGGCTATAAGGGGGAGAACTTGGTGCTCTTTGTCTTGAGCCTAGCCATCTGCCTCTTTCAGCAACACCTGATCATCCATCAGAGAACGGCTGACTGGTGTGAAAGCCTTGCACTTTATCGGGCCTGCTTGTATTGGCCAAGTACAAGTAGTGAATTTCTTGGCACAGTCCATTATTATTCCGATCACATGTACTAGGCTGTTAATCCCATCCGTCTTCCTAGTGCAGACGCTATACTTCCCAATCTCCCCCTCCCCCCCCAAAAAAAATGGAACAGGATGTAATATTACTGTTGCATTGGCAGTCTAAATTTACAGAAATAATACACGACTTCTTAAAGATCGGAACAAACCAGCTATAAATTGTTTGTCCTTTGGCTGTTATCAGGAGAGGGAGTCTTGCCAGGAAGCTATTGTTCTGGGCATAAATTTCCAAGTGCAGCTGATGCATCCACTCCAAAGCTGCTTTACCTTGGCCGGTTTGGATCGCCAGATCTGGACACACATTCATCTTAGGCTATTGTCACAGTGTGGCATTCTAATCAAGGTATCCAGGATTGTAATTTGGACAATTCCGAGATGAAATAGATGACTTCTGTATGTTAATTGGACATGCATACACTGCATAGCAGGGATGCCTTCTGAGCCGTGCCCTAACAAGGAAGTACCTCTCTCATATGCTTTCCACCAGAACAGTTTTTTAAATGTCAATGCTTGCAGATTTATTTATGTATTTATTTATTTATTTAGATTGTTGCCAAACTGGGGAAAACTAACCTCATAGAGCCCACATGTACATGCACGTTCCAGCCCGAGTTCTTACATGTACTCTACTTGGGATAATTGGGAAAACTTTTTGAACAACTTTTTAGCAGAGCTTGGAAGATATGTAGTTTTCCAGAAGTACTGTGGGTTGGTGACAAATATTCAAGAGGAACTCGGTGATGGGCACTTTCTGAAATACAAGTACAAGAAAAGGGAACATATGGTTGCATTTGCATTCTGCATCACCTCTTTGTGTGTGACTACTCAAGTGAATATCCTTGTGTACCCATTGGAGATGTGTAGAAATACCATCGGGTAGCGGGATGAGGTCTTGCTTACATGTCTCTGCTCACAACTGCATCTGCGACTCATCTACTCTCTCTCTCTGCTTGTAATGGGACCAGCATGGTGCCTGGGTGCTAATGGAGCCGGCTTGTAGCCTCGTTGATATTAACCATTTAGGCTCACTGCTGGATGCGGCATTGTGGTAGTGTGTCTTGACACGGACACCAATCACCTGAAGTCGTAATATTGCGGGGAGGGGGACTGACCGAGTGCCCAGTCCACTAAAGTGTGTTCTCTGATGGCTTGAAGGGTTAGTAACCTCAAAGATGCCAGTACTCCCAGTCAGTAATTGATGTGGTTTCAACACATGTATGAAATCTCTCGCATTGCGCATGAAAAAAAGTTTGTTCTGTGGTCCAACCTTCTACCATACATCCTAAAATACACAAGTACATATTTTCAAGGCAAAATATCAAAAACCATATTGGTGTTTTCCCCATTTTGCCTGTTGACAGTGGGGGTTATGTTCATTATCCTAGCTGCATCACATATGAAACTTCTCTTTGTTGGATACAGTATACATGTAGTCTTAACATTTTAATTAAAGCCCAACCTTCACGCATCACTGACTGCACTTACACGCATTTGTACTGTTCAACATCATCATAATAAACCATCACTACAACCAGCAAAATGGGGTATTGCAGTCAGCCCGTGAACCTGTCGTGCATTGGGGCGCTGCCATTTCATCTCCATGCCATACTACATGAAAATCCTTCTTTGTTCATTGTGTTAACGAATGTCCAAATTGAAGTCAATGGAAAATCCCTGTACCTGATGACAGAATGTCCAAATTGAGCCCGAGGGTGTCAAGCATCTGGAATTTGTACTACTAACACTTCTACCTTTCATTTCATTTACTGTGGAAATTCTTTCATTATTTTCAATCATGTGCATGCCAACTGACCCGGCTGCCTTTTAAATTGACTCCCAGTTTATTTGCCTCACTTTTCGAGTTTTGAAATGAACGTGGAATGCCTGCAGTCAGGGATGCAACCAATTCCAATCAACAGATTTGGGGGGGGGTTGTGTTAACACGTATCGTTAAGATAAAAGAGCCCTACTGCAGGAAAGTTGAGATACTGATGCCTGATAGTAGTTACACACAAAGCTTGGTTGCAACTCTGCCTGTCAGCCCAGCCTTTGATTTTTCTGTTAACATTTTCAGTTGGTATTAGATTTTAGATTTTTCTAAGTTTTGGTTTATGTGGTTATGCACAACAGGTCAAAGTTTGGGCTATGGTTTTGTTAACTACATGAAGCCAGCTGATGCCGCAAAGGCTCTCGCCATGCTGAATGGACTCCGTTTGTCGTCCAAGATGATTAAGGTACCTCACCATTTTATTTTGAATTTTCTTTGTTGACCTTTGGTTGTGTAACTTATCCCATTGTACTGCCACTAACAGCCAGTTTACATCTGTTTTCTGTTTAATACGCCTACACTCCCTGAATGTTGTGTTTGATTCGCTGTATGGCCCCTTGATCTGTACACGTTACAAGTACATAAATAAAATGTGTGGATATCAACTCTTGGTTGTATCCTGAATGGTACATATGTGTACATGTATTTCAAAGACTCTTCCTTAAAATGGACAAGATGTGGGGTGATTAGGTACAGAAATGTTCTAGAGTGTTTGCACTGTTGTGGTGTTGACAAAATCACAAACTTCCATGTATAAAATTGATCCGAAACTTGGTCAATTTAGATATCTTGGTTCTGTTGAATTCATACAGTTGAGCCTTGACACTCCAAAGCTGTTAAAGGTTTTCTGGGCAAAGAAGTTGGAAATGAAAAGGGCATTCTGTTAAATTAACCCCCTGACATTTTTATGGCCTTTATTTTTAACACTGCGATCAGCACCCCTGACATGAAAGATGTGTGTCAATTTATGAAACTGTGAACATTGAAATGTCTTCCCCTTCTTGAAACAAAAAGCATTTAATTCATATGGTTAGGAATATCCTGTTGAAAGATGCCTCACACCCCTTCTTCATACCTCGTAATAATTTGGTGCAACCCCTGGTTGACAGCAGGTTTTGGTATGGAGACAATTTTGCTCGTAAAGTCCTGGGATTCCAGAACCAGGGTGTTGAGAGTGAAAGCCGGTTTAAGTCATGTGCAGACAGCTTTCCCCACCAACGAGCCATGTGTGGCACGGAGTGACAAAGGCTGCCAGAGAGCGTTACCAAAAAAGGGGAGCCGTGTCCAGGCGGGAAGGGTTCATCTTAATAAATGCACCCAGCGTTGTGCATCAGCCACATCCCTGCAGGGGTCCTCTCAACAAATTTCCATTCCTCCCCATCATTGTCCCTGGCCTGTTGTCTTTTATTGGCTCTGGTCTTAGTTTGGCTTCTGGTGTATTTTGACTGATAACACAAGATGATCCTTTTCTAATTTGTTGAGGGGTTGTTTCCGATTCTTGTGTAAACTGGTCGTGTTCCTTCTGGAAAGGTTATCACAGCAAAGGCTACAAGAACAGTAGAGAAAAAAATCCTCCCAGACGAAGATGGGGTCACATGCTGGCAGCTCAAAGGTTGAATTTCATGTAATGCTTAGCTGATGATGCCAGCTTATCATCTCCATGATTACACTGGAAGTGAATGTTGTTGGCTGAACTTGATCAGTTCTAATGGAAAGATTTCATGGCTATCTGCCTCTGGGAAATATGAGGAAGTCAGGTGGACAGATCAGCTCCGCATGGTGTGCCGGCATGAATGGCGAGGCTTTGTGCGGCCTACGCTCTCTCGGCACTAAATTACATTCGCTTTCATTTAACCAGCGGTGTCGAGTTCCCAAAAATTTTGTCATGCAACAAAAGTTCATGTAATGATTCCGGCACTGCCGTGCAAGCATAAAGTGGCTCAAAATAGGTTGTCGCTGCCTGCAGCATCCAGAGCCAAATGAAAATCGATACGGGTTGCTATTCCACAGGGTTTTTTTGTTGAGAAAAGAAGAAAATCTACATGTCACAAAATGAGCCAAACACAATGAAAAATATTTTCATGACGGCACTACCCTGTCTGTATGTGGGTGGAGAGACGTGCGCCATCAACAAAAAGTTTTTTGAAGAATACAAAACGAAAAGAATGTTTATAGGAGAATTTTGTTTTCTAATTTTGGAAAATGCAACACCTCCGTTGATGATATTGCATTGTGTTAGGCTATGAGTTGGGTGCTCATCGGGGGTTTGAACTCAATTTTTTTAACAGTCTACTTGCTACGTAGTTGAAGCAAACTGTCTCTGTGATTTTGTAAAACTGGTTTCAATCAAGCAATATTTTCATGACTTGATTAGTGGTTGGCTGTCTTTTTCCTACGAAAAACCTTGGCAAAGAAAGATCAACACTTTGAAATAATTTAACATAAACACTGCAATCTCCTACAGCGTGCTCTTCATTATCAATTTATGCTGACATTTTTGCAATTTATATATTTCAAACAAATTTACCATTCCTTAATAAAGGTAATTTGTTACAAATGATACTTTATACATATGAATTACAGAATGTAATTGCATACATGTAGCAATTTGCTGCAAATGGTCTAAAGCTCATCCCTTTTTTCCCGTCCATGGTCCATCAGGTTTCCTATGCTCGACCAAGCAGCCAAGCCATCAAAGATGCCAACCTGTACATCAGCGGCATCCCCAAGAGCTACAAGCAAGAGGATCTAGACAAGCTGTTTGCTCCCTATGGCCACATCATCACTTCCAGACTCCTCTATGATCAAGACTCTGGCACAAGTAAGCTGCCTCGGCCCTTGGCTTTCTGTGTATTCCTTTGACAGGGTGTTTTCGAGTTGGCATGAGGTATAGCTTTAGTCTTGGTTATGGTGTAAACTGATGGATGGGGGAATCAAGGTTTATGTACCACCCCCACCAGAGGTCCAAAATGCTGGAACATTTGACAATTGTGATCTCTCTCAGTGTAGCAGTGTGTACATATATATATCAATGGATTGCAACCTGGATAGCCTGTCCATTTATGGCGTATAAATTATGTTCATTTATAGAGGCACACCATATTTCATCTTCAGTTCCTCTGTCCCCCCCAACTCACATACAGATTACATAAGAAACATCGCAATTGGCATCAACAAAAAAAAAGCCTTTAATAATTTTTCTTCAATGCACAAAACTGCAGATTGAAGGTTCTTTGCAAGTTCTTTACCTCTTCAAAAGTAGTGCAATTGGTTGCCAGCTCATTTAAATGAAGTCTTTCATGTGTTTGTGTTTCCTCTCTGAATTAGCTGGGCGCTCACGTGGGGTTGGGTTTGTGCGCTTTGACAAGCGTGTGGAGGCAGAGCGGGCCATTGAGGCCCTTCACGACAAGACTCCAGAACATGGCACGGACCCCCTGATTGTCAAGTTTGCCAACAACCCCAGCCAGAACTTCCACAAAGTGCTGCAGCAGGCTTACATGACATGTATGTCACCGCAGCGCCGTGTCATGCCCATCGGATCGGTTGGACCCATGCGCCACATGCCGCCCTGCTTCAGGTAAGCTTTAAAGAAAAATTAGTGCGTGTGGATGATAGGAGTTTGTGTGCGAGTGGGTATTTTTGATTGTTGCATGCAGATCTTGTCACTCCAGAGATATTGGTTTTGTGTGTGTGTGTGCCGGAGTCTAATTGCCATCCTTGGGTTTTGTCTGTGTATTTTGCATATTTCTGCTGCTCAGAAGATGACAAATGATCAATAATCAAGAATTGTTAATGTTTTACGTACTCGTACCGGTATATATTGGTTATTAAACAAGTTTCTTGAAGTTGTATTGCTCGTGCCCATAAAAGAAATAACACAAATCTGCGTATGGATTGATTTACTGTCCTTTGGATGTAGACCCCTTTGTCCAGAGCCTCATGTGATCTTAAAATATCCTTTTGTATTTTCTGTAAATACATATTTTAAAATTAACTGGACAACAGTACAACGTATTGATTATGCATGCACATTTGGAGGTTCCCCCCTCCCTGATGAATATTCTGCATCTGCCGGCTGGTAGTTTTATGGAAGCCTGCCTTGCGTCTTGGCTCGGTGCTTGGAGTGCAGCCAGTGTGAAGCAGGCACCCAAAATAAATATTCACCATGCGAAATCAGCGGCGTCCGTGGATTTTTAATTGGAGGTTTGCCCGACAGTAAACAATATGGCTTGTGTCAACTTCATTAGCATGCTCATAAACCGTTATTGCCGGCAACAGGGACAAGCCTGGTGAATTGATATAGCTTAAGCCCCAACCAAATGTGCATTGTGTTTTCATGTCCTTTCTGAATAAAATTTCTGTATATCTGTATAATGGTGCAAATGTACAGCATTTTTTAATGGGCCATACAAGCAGTGTATAGCAAGTATGGTTAAGAATGATTTACCAGGGCAAAAAAAAATGGTCTTGACCCGTTTGTCATCGACTGTTCTCAGAAGAGAATGACGGTCAGGGCTGAAATTCCTCTTGCGGTTGTCTCCACAGCAGCATTATGAAATTGCTGGATCTGTTGTCAGGATACACAAATTGAATCACGTTTGGTTTTAATCCTGCTTAAATTGCAAATGTGGCTGAGAAGATGGTGAGGGAGTTCATCTGACTGTAGCCCCCTTTTTCTAATACCCAAGTTCTTTTTGGAATTAAAACAGCAGAGTTAAGAGATGTTGGAAACTTTGATGGTGTGAAAACAAGCCTAGTGTACGGTATATTAGAATCGTAATGTACAAAAACAAGTGGTATTCATAGATTGTCACAAATAAATGTCAAAAGAATCACTGAAAAACTGAATATTTCAGGTATTCATTATCTCAATTGATGTCCAGAGCAGGGTTTCTACAACAATCTTCCATGTTATTGTATGTTTTTCAGTACAAGGGCTTCGAGTTGTATCCCTTTGCAGTCCCCCCCGTAAAAAAAGCCTCCTTAAAATATAATTTTAATGAGATTTGAAACTTTAGGGGCCTTTAAATCAACTGCCATCAAATTGATGAACCGAGTGCCGTGTAAAGACGCTTCGACCCATGAATCCCTTTCTGCAAGATTGCCTGGACTTGGGCACATTGCTTGTCACTCGTCCAATTTTTGCAAAGACCCCAACAAGCAATGTACAAACCCTGCTCGTTTTTGTAAATGAATGTGTTATTGTATGGTCCAGACGTTTTTCAAATACGATAAAATGAAAAATACAAAAATACAATTTTCTTAAAGTGGACAGCTGCATGGAAACATTATGGAAAAATGACTTTGTGTAGCGTCGGCAATATTCAATGCAAAAGAAAAAAGATTTTGAGTTCCATTGTAGAAATGCAACTCAAAATGTCTACAGCATGGCTGACTTGGTTATAAATTCTGAGAGTATTAATGAACCAAACAAATACTAGAAATTCCGGCTACACACTGTAACGTCTGGGAAAAACTGCATCATTTATTGGCAAGTTGTAGTAAAGGAAACAAGGATGCTTTAAGATGTTTGTTTTCCAGGAAATGTCTACGTGATAAGCAGTCAGCTGTTTCCATGCCTACAGTTCACAGGCCAACCTCCCCAATAAAAAAAAAATTTGTGGCGAAGGAAGCTTTGTTATTTTTTAATTTTTGTTTTGCAATTAAAACATGACCCAAATGGGTTCATTTTCCATCATTCTTTAAAATGAAAGAAGCTTTTCATTTTTGTGGAACCTGTATTTTAATTGTGCTGAAGTTCTGCCACGATACTGTAAAAAGAATAACAAAGTTTCCTTTGCCCTGTCTCCCTGAGCAAAAAGATGAAAAAGCAGTCCATGAACTGCTTTGTTTGAGAAAGTAAAGACATTGTTGACAAAGAAAACAAGGGGATCAAACCAAATTCCTCGTCTGAATCTTCCTGAGCCCAGTTTTGCAGTATCCTTTCACCTACCAGGCCCATTCATCACATGACACATCACACGACAAAGTGAGCTGCTTGCTTTGTTTGTCGGTTGGTCGGTTGATCAATCGGTCGATTGTGGATACATGAATGAATACATCTGAAAATCTCCCCATGTGAATTCTGTGTAGGTGGCAACATTTAAGCGACAAGATGCAGGGACTGCTAGGCAAGATATTGCCCAAAAACAGCATGTGAGTACCCCTCCCTCATCTACAAACAAGACTAAGGAACAACAATAAGACATGGTTTACCTTAATGGGTGTTCATTAATGCATGTTGGTTTTTCTGAAGCTTTAGTAACACGTTTGTACTTCACATGACATTTTATTTTATAGTTTGTGGCTTTTTTTACATGATTTTTACAGTTCAGGGCTTGGTATTTATTTGTATTATTCGCTAAATGTAGGGAAGACAATCTTTCAAGCAGAAGTGGCAATTCCTTTGACAGTTTGAGAAAAGACCTTTTTCAGATGTTGGTCTTTGAACACAAACATCAATTATTCAGGTAATCCTGAGTGCGCCCTGATAGATTTATTTATAACAAATCCTCAAAAACCACTGTCACATCCAGTTTTACACCAGAAGAAACATTCAATGTTTTGCAAGTATAAACTATTGCTGTTTGAACAAGTTGAGAGAATAGATAGGTGGTTGGGATATATCCAACTATGCCAGTATTCAAGGAATAATCGCTTCTGCTGTATTTACTAACTGTGGCAATGCATTTTCATGATTTGGCAGTTTTGTGAATGAATGACACCAGAGTTCAAAGAAACCAAACCATTTAGTCTGGTGCCTCTTGTCCTGAAACTGTGTGGCATTTGACACCCTGAATCCTCCTTGTTTATCGGTTGGCATTCATATGCATCTGTGTGTAACAGCTTGCACTGATTATGTTTTTGACTTTTTACATGTAGGTGAAAGGATACATGTATGTGGACTGTGGTTATATTTAGTTTTTGATTTATCAATTTTTTTTCCGAGTCCCCCTTGGTCGATTTCATATGTTGGTTGACATCAACTGGTTGATATCAACACCTGTTGTCCATTTCTGTTCTGTTTAACACTCACAACCAGTGTTTTATTTCCATTTTGCAGTTCTGTTCCAAAGTTCTTGTTAAATAGATTTATTTGTTCGACTTTTGACTATTTCTTTTTCCACTTGTTTGCATTGCTGAATGACTCCTCTTTTCCTTTTTTCCTCTTGATAAAAGGTGGTGGTTTGCTTAACTTGATTTTCTGTTGATTTTTTTTTCTTGTTGATTTCCATCATTTAAAATGTAGAGCCAGATCAGGACTTGAATATTTCCTTGGTGACTTTTACTTTACTGGACAGTTTTGAACAGTTGTTTATCATCTTTTGTTTATTTTTAAAACTCAGTCTGACAGTTAACAAAACATGTAAAGCTTATTTTTCCTGACACCTACAGTAAAAAAGTAAACAAACAAAATTTCAGCAGAAGATAATTTCAGTTAACGGGTTTCCGATCAGTTTCACTTGGGATTCTTTTAAAAGCCAAGGTAGAGTATAAATGGGGCAAATTACTGACACCCACACAAATTTGGTACTACCTGCATCTTGGGTACTTGATGTAAAATGGATGTGGAAGGCTGCTTTCCGCTTAGCTGGTGCTGATTCCTGTGGCTGTTGGACTTTGTTCTTCCAGGTATTCACCCATGACAATGGCCCAGCAGCATTCTTGCAATGACATGCTCAACACCATGAACCTCCAAGCCATGACCAATAATGGCAACGGCTGGTGCCTGTTTGTCTACAATCTCCCTGCCGAGAGCGAGGAGTCCCTGCTCTGGCAGCTCTTTGGCCCATTTGGGGCGGTCAACAATGTCAAGGTGGTCCGCGACTTCAACACCAACAAGTGCAAAGGCTTTGGCTTTGTCACCATGCCCAAGTATGAGGATGCGCACCGTGCTATCGAGGCACTGAATGGGTACTGTCTGGGAGCGCGCACTCTTCAGGTGTCTTTCAAAAAGGCAAAGAATGAGTAGACAGGCATCTTGCAGTCACCAAGGTCCTGCTGTGGATTAACGGGGGAACAAATCTGAGAAAGTCACAAACAGATCGAGAACAAATCTCATCCCCCAAATAAGGGTAAAACAAGAAAAAAAAAACAAAACAAAATCAGTAAACAAAAAGTGATACTGTCAATGAAGGTTTCTGAAAGAGCATGACAATGGCTAGATCGAGTTTTGTCCTAGGAAAGTTTTTAAATTGGAAAGAGTGATTATCTAAAAGGAATTTGTATTAGCCCGGTTGTTATTTTGTTGTGGGCCAAACGCTTTGAATTTTGTTTTAAAAAGGTTGAGTCTTAATTGGTTAAAACCAATTTTTCTTATAGGAAAAAAAGATGAAACTATTTGAAATTTAATCATTTAACAACTTTTCAATTTCTGAAAAAAATCATTTGAACATGTTTACCGCCTGACTTTTCAGATTTAATCAAGTATTAAATTTTTTGATCTTTTTAAGTTCATGCCAATCTAAGTAGTTAAAATGTATGCATGCATACAGTTATTAATTTAGCTCTTCGTATAAAGAATTGTGTTGATTGTATGGAATTTAATTGCAGAAATATAGAAAAACTATATTGAAAAGTTAGTTCTATCAATTTATTAGATATTGATTGACATGATTTTTAAGTATTAACTTTATTGGCTTTTGTGTTTTGTGTTTATGTTGTAGTTTATCATGTAGAGTTTAACTTAAAGGTGACCAAGAAAAGCAAGCAAAACCAATCCATCAACCCAAAGAGCTCACTGATGAAAAATATTAGTAGCCATGATCCGAGATTTTGTTCAGTGCTGGTTTTTGGCATGACCGGGCAGATTTGACTCTAGCTTTATGTTGAAATTCTCATTTTAAGGACAAAGATGACAGTTTGAGAAGGAAAAAAAAAACAAAACAAAACAATGTGCTGCATAACAAATGAAAACTACATGCTAGGAGGTGTATCACTGACAATTCTTGCCCATTTGACTGTGCACCACAATACCGTGCTGCTTAATTTTGTTTTGAGTTAACAATTAGCTCAGTGAAGGCTTTCCGTGCCATCTATTTTTATAGCATGTGTAATTATGACGTTTTGATGATGTGTGAAATGATTTGATCGAGTGGTGGATAAATTAAACAAGGCATGTAAATGGAGCTTACACTGAGCTAACGTGGACGTATTTCCATGGAAAAGGGGAGAGGGACTGGTTGAAGGATCGAGGGGGAGTTGTCACATGTCCACTTGGTGTACTGGCGGGAAATGGATAACATTTTAATTGCAAAACCAGGCTAATGTATTCCAAGTTGTTAAAAAGTGAAAATGGTGAAAAGATGACAAAAGAGCCAAACATTAACACACCAGTAAAAAAAAAAGCGGGAATTATTTATTGCGGCTTATAATGTCATTGCCCAGCCTATGAATGTCTTGGGTTTTTAAATTTGCCATTTCATCCTCATAAGCTATTCCCGTCGATGCATGTACTGTATATGTATATTTCTGGTCACAAAATGTAAATAACATTAGATGTTGTGTGAATAATCGTCCGCAGTTTATTGTTAAAAAAAACAGGGTTCCTGTTTTAAAAAGAGAGAGGAAAAGAAGAAAAAAAATCAGTTGTATATTCCTCCCACAGTGGCTGCCAAAGAAAACAGTAAAGACAAAAACCGAATTCACTTGCAAAGAACATTCTTTGGTAGCTGCGTGAAGGGACTTTATTTTTCGACTGGCTGAACATGCTAGCTTCAGCGTGTGATTGGTTTTTGTTCCGTTGGATAGTTTTGTGACTTTGGTTGAGTTTGTGGACATTGTTTCCATCAGTTTCTTTCGCTTTATACAAAAAAAAATAGCATTTGCGTACTGTGTCGTTTGGAATCTGCTGCTAATAGTGGTTGATAACAGGAAAAAAAAAAAAAAGAAACAAAAATACTGCAAGCAGTTCATCTGTGGCCAAAAGGTGCTACGTACTCTTCGCTATTATAGACTGTTAAACATCTAATTAAGATTCTTTGCTTTGGAGACAATCTGTGTTTAGTGACAAGTGATTTTTGTGATATTATGGAATATATTTAATCCATTATAACATTTTTGCATGAATTCTTATTGTTGCTTCTATTTTAATGCTTTTTCGCTCTATACATATTATCAAACAAGGTACCATGTAGTAGCTTTTTCCAGTTATGAATTTAAAAGATTCATGTTGGTGATTTCTGTAAATGACTTGTGGTTATTTTGGGGTTCGCCCAACAGCTAGCTAAAATGTGGTATGTTTCCAAGCTATTAACGCACCAAGCTAGAAAAAGTCAGATTTTTGTGAAATTCTTTGCCAAGGTTGTAGCAGAAAAGTAAAGCATTTGATTGAGTTGACTTGGTTCTTAAGGATCTTGCTTGAGTTGATTTGGGTTTTTTTCCTTTTGGCAAACGAGCAGCATGGGTCACGTAGAAAATGTTAAGAAGTAAAAAAAGCTCTGATTTTTCTGGAGATTGGAAAAAGCTTCTTTTTTTTCGGGGTTGGCATTTGGCTGGGTGGTGTTATATATCATTTCTTGTGGGAGTGCTTCGGGTTTACATTGCACAGATGAAGACCAAAGACTTACTAATAGCGGAGGTGATGTGAGTTGCTATGTAAAGCATTAATGTAAGCCTTGTGCCTGTAATGATTTTGGGCCTCCAAGACTTCCCCGTAGATATCTCGGATGAGATGGTCTTATAGTAGATATCGATGAGCTTAGTGGGTTTGACATCAAATGTCGCCAAACAACAGCAAAACGTTCAACTGTGTCTTTTCCTGTGAATGCTGGGTAAGGTCAGGCCGGATGCCGTTTGGCTGTTTGGTATGTGAATTGGTTGAGTTCTATTCCAGATATCCTTTTTTTACCCAGTTCAGAACATCGTACTCCATGAAGATTTTGCAGCAAACGCCAATTCTTCCTACCTGACCTTACCCACTGGGCCCAATCGTGGAAACAAAACAAAAAGTGTGCTAAATATCTTCCAAAAAGATTTAAAACAAAGTTTCTATAACTCTTTATAAGTAAACCTGTGACAGAAAAGGGCCAAGCCATATACAAGTATACAAGAAATCACTGTTCTTGAATTAATGTAAAACGTATGTATTAAAAAAAGACCTGATCCTAGCCTCTTCTTTGAACAGGTACAACCCTTAACACAGATCAGAATTCTATGATATGTGGGCTCTGTTTTACAGCCGCAGACTCTGTATGCAGAAAATGTGAATAAGACTATTGGATCCTAAGTGCCCAGATATTGTAGAATGTAAACTATTTTCTATATACCGTTCTTTCTATACCAAGGGTAGGAATAAATGGTACTTACTACTGAACTTACTCCATGAAATTATGGAAGGAAAAAAAAATGCAGCTTTATTGAACATTAAGACTTCAGGTCTATAATATGCACAAGTATTTTGTACAGAGTTGTACATAACAGAGTAAGGATTTGTACTGTACAAAAAAGAAAGGGTTCAAAGTAGATAGATACACAAAGGGGAATGCCAGCTTGCTGGTTCTTCCAAGAAATGAGAGAGGAACGGGTTCAACTCCACCAAAAAAGAGTAGTTTCTTACCAAAAACGAAATCCTAAAGCTTGTCCAAACTTGATACAACTAAGATAAAATCTTTGGCATTAACAAGGCGCTGTGCACGGTCCAACTTGCAGAAAAAAAGAAAACAATTTCAATCATATCAAGCAAAGATTCTGTCTTGGGAGTTAAGGGTGAGCTCGAGAGATGTGCAATCAAAACACCAAACAAAGAATAAAAAGACCAACGATTTTTGCTGCTTTACACACAAAAAAGTAAACAGAAGAGGAGGAGTCTATGCAAGCATTTCATCTCATTCAAATGTAATAAATATATCCGCTTTATAGCTGGCAGCCATTTAAGAAAAAAAAGCTGAAAAAAAATTCAGAGATTCAGAAAAGGGAGTTGCAGCCTTCCCGAGTAGGTCCCTGTGTAGTGTGCTTTCGCTTGTGTTAAGGTTCTTGGAGTACTAGCCAAGCCAGACTCCATGGACTGGTAGAGTATCCTCTAGGTACACTTGTCTTTGTTGTGTCTTTGTGTCCTTCCTTCAAAATCCATTGAAAACAAAAATGTTAAAAAAAAATTCTTCCAGCTTTTTCAGCAGATTTCTATATTTTGACTTCATCGGTTTCCTGTGTAGTGGAGGATAATTAAAGGAAAAGAAACGACTGGAGAATTTTTAAGGATTGCACTAAAATGTGATAATGGGTGTCTGTCAGTTGGAATCGGAGCACTTGTTACGTTTGGGATAAGTAGACACAAACTACACACTACAGGCACTACCATGCTTTTACCCCATGCCCAGCCGGAATCGCACCACTTGTTGCAAAGAAAAAAATGGCAGGAGAGTTTTTATATATACTCAAAAACTGAGAGAAAAAGCTTAAAGTAACTCCCTGCTGATGGTTTTGAAGAGCTCCAAACAAACATTTTTCAAAGCACTTGTTTGCGTTGTTAAGAAGGGAAAGGGGAAAAAAAGCATTTTGGGAATTGGCATGGGAAAGTGACCCTTAAAGAAAGACACCAAAATGCGAAAAAAAAAGTCAGTGTGATTAAAAAATAAAAAAGCATAACATGTTGGCTCGGGAGGATACAAAGAATTTTGCTCTTTGCTTAAACATTATAATTGTTATTGCTATAAATTTGTACTTTTTACATGTTGTTGAAATAAAAATGCCAAAAAAAAGTGGTAGTTTCTTCACATGCCCACGTGCTTTCTTTCTGTTGTCCTGTGTCATATTGTGAACTTGTTCCAAATTGCATGAACTTGTTGTTTTCAGTCAGCACACTGATACCCTGTTATTTTGTTGTTTTTTCTAATCTTTTTTGCGGCTTGTTTTGTTCTGACCTGACTTGTGTTCAAATGATTATTTCATTGTGACAATCTATGAATATTGAGGTGTTATGACCATAATTTGCTGAATGATGGAATGAAAAAAAGAACTGGTTTGTTTTGTTTCAGGTGAACAGTTTTTTCCATGGTTGTGCCTGTTTTCACATCAGCAATGTAGCTTTCCGTTTTTATTAGAACTCTGCTGGGCATGCCGTCAAGCAAGCAAGCAACATTGTACAATCATGATTCTTCTGTGCATTGTCGCCTACATTTGTTACTTTGTACAAAACAAAACATTTTACTTTTTGTTCCTTTAGTTTCTGTTTGATATATATATTTTTTCTGTTTCATTTGGTTGTTTTCGCATGAGTTCTTTCCTGATGTTGTAGGAGAATTGTTTTTAGTTTTGTTTGTTTCATTACTTTCTCATTGATGGGGCGTTTGTTTCAAGTACCCCCAAAATATTGCAGAAAACTGAATAGAAATGAAACAACTGTTGTCTGGGGCAAATTCTGTCAAGCACAGGAATGAACTAAGCACATGCAGAAAATGCTCACTTACTGGTCGGTTCTTGTCTCCAAATTCTACTGAGCACATCAGTTGGCCGAGTCTTCCACTCTTTGAAAGTGTGGCCATGTCCAAATCAAATGGCTGCAGCTGGGAGTAACACATCCCTTTATTGGACATAGCTGTAGCCGCTAGCTGGTGGCTTCTATAGACCTACATCTGATGCAAACTATGGGACAGAGAACCCCCCCCCAACTTTGTGTTGGTCATTGTTATACTAGTATCTCGGGAATTCTTTTCAAAAATCTAAGGGGGATATGTTAAGTAACAATAGGCTGGAGTATGTATAGGGATTGGACTTGTTGGGGGGTAGCCCTCTGTCCCATTCATGCCTGGTCTACAGACCTGTATCATGGGGCAGCCATCTTGCTTTTTTACCATTAAAACCGATGTAACCAAAATGAAGCTGGAAGGGTCAATAGTTGGTTCCCTTTTATCTGTATGTGAAGTTGTATTACTATAGCCAATGGGTCTACAGGGGACAAGACAAATATGTCAGCATCAGGGGCATGCTATAAATTTGGGGCCCAATGGATGACCTTTTGCCACCCCTGACATGTATACTTTGGCAAAGGACATATCACTAAAATTGATTTAAAACTATTTCCATCTGTTTGGCAGGTAATTTTCAGTACTTATTCAATATGTGGAATTAAGAAATTAGTTCTAAACATTAAAAAGTCGTGCATACATCAGGTGTAACAGGGACAGGAAAATAATTGGACCCCAAGTTAATAGAATGACCCATCGTGCTATTTCAAGCCACAGCCAAAACATTCAGAACAATGGATTTCTAGTTCACTTTAAGCAGAGACTTCAATTTTTTATTGGGGCAGGGGGATGAATAAGCTTAATTATTGAGGATGAGATGCGCCAGGACTCTGCATACTCCATGCATAAAGAATGTACACATGCTTGTGTCAACATCACTGTGCAAATTTCAACAAGGCCGTCTGGCCATAGGTAATTCACATAGGCTCTATTTGATTTGAGTTTGTCATATGTCTGAGTAATCTTCATCTGCATCATCGTTAATGTTGCCAGCACTGTGACTTCTGGCGTGATCCCAAACCATCTTGTATATGTGTGTGGTACTTACGTGTAGGTTCAGACTGTTGCATCAGGATCGGCACTGACAAGAACTTAAGTGAGAGACTGTAAGCAGGGCAGCTTTGGGAGCCCAGAGCACCAGTAGGATCTTACACGTTCAAATGGTACTTCGTTATTGTGTTACTGGGGCTTACTCTTGACAGCCCCTATGTGGTTTCTATTCTGTAGAATTTGTTACCATTTAGATTAAGAACTTCAAACAAACAAACAAACAAAAGATGCTTGGTGCGTTGAGATGTGTGTTGTTGAAAATATATTCAGTTGAACTTTTAGTTGAAACTCTGTGAACATGTGTTGGCTCAAAACTATAAAGGTAACTACTTGCTTTGCAAAGTAAAGTACCCACATTATCCCTTTTATGTATTTGATCTGCATGAACAGAGGTGGGATGTTATTTTTCCCTCCCATGAGCAATAGAATAATTCTGGCCACCAGCGAGACTGAGATCGCCGCTTCGCAAGAAATGGATGACAAACCAGATGCAAAAACCAGTTCCTGTGGCGCACTCGTGTTAAAGCATGAATCAGTTGATTAAAGACTTTTATTAACCTAGATTCACACGTGCTTAGGCCCCTTCTCCATCCCCCCCCCACCCATTAACTCAGATCGGATAAACTCTTCAGGGTAATTTATGTCATTGCTGAAATGATTCTTGATCTCTTACATCCTCTGGAAAGTAAAATTTTCTTTTCAGGGTAGAAAGGGAAAATCCTTTGATGATTGAGTGCATGGACATGTCTTTATGTGTGAGAGCATCCAATTGCAATTACATACGAAACTGCATTTGGTGTACTGAAACTCACCTCACTGGGGTGTGAACGCCAAAAAAAAAATTAAATGGAGCCGCCGTCCAACAGCCAGGCATAACAGCCGTACCCTGTCATCTGGGAGGCACGAGTATCCCATTTCCCAGAAATTTCTGCACTTGATTTTGCTCTTGAGCGGGTATTGTTCACAAGGCATGACCCTGGACTCTTCTCCATGCTCACCAGTACATTACAGAGGAGCTGCGGCTATGCCAAATGCCTCAATTAAAACTTTGATAATCGACTTCTGTCAAAGTACAGGAAGGCAGAACACTTAAGAAATTAATAAAAAAAAGATAAAATATAAAACAATTTGTCAGTCATTTTTGCAGAGACAGTGAACAAATTTTTAAGTCTTACATGTACTTTCCAAAAATACAAATTATCCAAAATGTACTACAATGAGTGTTCTTCTTGGCTAGTTGAAAAAAAGAAGTCACCTGTTTAAGTCCAGTATCTTTTTGATGGCCATTAGCAGTAGAACTCTTCTTAAACCTGTGATTACATTCTGTGCAATTGGAGATGTCTGAACTGCAGTCGCTGTGTAGCAGCTACTGGTAATGATGCACATTCCTCACAAACAAGGAATTTAGCAAACTTGCCAATGAAAAGAATTACAAACCGAGATTTCCAAGCAGAATGTAGACAGTATCCTTGGTTGGTCAGCTTAGGAAGCAGTAGGGAAACTAGGATACACCCCTTAATTTAATTACATGTAGATTAATTGTGTACTGACCTGCCCAAGTCCTCCCCCCCAGCTTTCATATGCTGTTGACTTTACAAAAATCCCGGCATTTACAAGCATGCCTTCCCACTTCCATTTTCATCATTAGACTTGCACTGCTTGTTGCATTTGTAGTTAGACAAGATGTGAATGTATGAACTATATTCAGCACAGTCTTCAAAGGCTTTTGTGAAATTTCTAATCTAATCCAATCAATTACATAAATGCTTTGGAAATTATGAAATTCCCCCTTCCTTAAACAGTGCTCTCACTGGCCTGCTCAGTTAATACTTTTCTTTGCATCTGTGAACTTTTTTTGGGGGGGGGGTTTCCTAAGCTTGTCTGATTTCTCTGAGGATTTGTAAATGGGCGCCGTTCTCGCCAAATTGTGAATTGCAGATCACAAGCGTCAATGCCTTGGCAGATCTGCTGGAATACGGCAATTTTCAGTTTCCTTGTGTGAAAATTCCCACTTGTTTGCAGCAGGTGACAACACACTGCCCAAATCTAATAAGCAAAACAAAGGTTTCCAGTAAGCTTCATTTCAGTGAGAATTAGCTGACAGGCGCTATACATCCATGCGTAACTGAAGCCTAGGGTTGTAATGTAATTTTCATTTCTTTGGTTTTTATTGTTGGGCTAGCGTTGAGGGGTTGATGTTGTCTGTGAATTGTGGTCAGAGAAAGCTATAATTGAGTTTCCTCCGTGCAACAAGTCTGAATGAAAAGCTGCTGGCATCTAGTGGCTTTCTGCTTAAACCACACAATTACTTTGATCAAAAACAGTATGTGATACAATTATCAGTGGCATATAAAAGCTACTTTTTTGTCTAAAATCTTTCCTGCCAAAGGTCTCACTGTATGACCATGGTAACATTTAGCAATATAAACACCTGTTCAGAGTTAATGGTACAATTTTACAATTTTTTTCGGATTTATAATCTCTCCAAATGTCAAACCATGTCACACTCCCAGAAAACATGAAAAAGGAATAATTCATTTTCTGGGGACCAGTCAGAAAAACCTGAGAGAACTGTTGGAGTCCACAATAATGCATTAACTATCACTTGAAAGCCTGTGAACTGCTTTTCCTAAGTAACATTATTCTGTCAACTCCTAAGAATGTAGCACTGAAGCAGCCCCTGATGAAGCAATTATTGTTATGATAGCTATAGATAATCCCCCCACTGTACATTAAAATCTGAATAAGATGGTTTTTAACTGATGGAACTGTGGAGTTTTTAGAAAAAATGGCGGGCGATTTCCACCCATGTTTGGCAGCAGTGTCAAACCTCCCCGATGCTGTCCCCAGTTCTGATGACTATCCCCCTTGCCCTCTATAATGAGCCGTGTCCTGTCCGCAGTCAACCTACTCCAGACACTTCCTGTCTGCGGCAGTGCTGATAGGCGGAGGCCTAAATCGAATCACTGAAGAGGAGGCACTGAAGACTGTCAACAGGAAGTACGTAGGGGGAGAGAGAGGGGGGGAGTTTAGAATACAAG